TGGATGCTTTGTCATTGATATTTTAGAGCTCAACATATCAATCTTTGTCAGTGTGACTAAAACAAATACCTGGATTACTGGCTCACATCTAAGTTCTTGACAGTGTATTGCCCTCCCTCCTACAAGTTCACATTCAAACCTACAGTATCTCACCCATGGAAGAGTTCTTACCAGATGTTTCAGCTCTGTATCTTGACTTGGATGGGCAAAGGCAGTCTGAAATCAAAACCAGTATCTGTGTAAAAGAAAAAAAAAAGAAAAAGGTATTCATTAGCCAATCATCCCAGCAGCCCCTGCATTATTATTTTCCTACTCGTCCTTTTTAGATACACAAACAGTAACATTTAGAAAATTATATTATCTTGCTTAGAGATAAGAGCTAAATAAAAACATAGAAAAAAGTACATTCTCAGTGCATACCAACCAATGTTCTCTGCTTTCTACTACTAAATTTTCTGCCTCCTACTTCCCTAAATTTATTCAGTATTGAAACTGCTTGCATCTTAAGAAGAGAGGCCCAGAACACAGTTGGGGATTTTTATTTCTTTAAAACTTATGAAACAATCTCGGTCAAGATTTTCTATATTTTGGGATGTTATTTCATTCCTACCCCTGGCTCTCCAATACACAATGTGTACTTCCACCTTCCGTGCTTGTTATTTAAAGCAGCCTAGTGCAAAACCCATACAATCAAAATGCAAGGAAGATATTTGTGTCTCATTCTCATATGTTAAGAATGCAAAGGAAAGAAAAAGAGACAGATGATACCATGTTAAAGAAATACATTTCAATCATTGAAAAGCTTTTTAGAAAAAGCCAAGAGATTAACTTCACCTTTTTTTTCAGCTTTTTCAGTTGTTTGGGGGGTTTTTTGTGATGGAAGAAGGAAAGCTTTTTTTAATCATCATATTTATTTGCTCCTAGTTACACTAACTTGATTTGCATTCATTTGGTGATGAAAATCTACCATCTAGAATAATGCAGCTGTTTAAATTGTATAACATAAGACATTTGCTCCTATATACCAATTCTGTACACACATGTATAAAAATGTGGTTTTGCCTAAATATACACTCACTGCTTTGAAGTCACTTCCCTGTACTACTGAAAATCATACTCATGCAGTTTTTCTTTATTTCACTAACACTAATATTTGGGCTGAAGGGCAAAGACCCAAGTGCCAGAAACAACCTTTACACTTCCTACATGGAATAGCGATTCAGCAGCTAGTTAAACCAGTTATCAGCATAACTGTGACTACTCTGAAAGAACTTCTATTCCTATCTGTATCTCCTTGTCCAGCTCAGTTTCTCATTTAATACTGATATTTGAGAGGTCACAGAGCCACATTATTCAAATATTCTGAGAGGAAACAATCCCAGCTCCACAGGTAAAGCAACTTTGAACTGTTTCCACTGATGAAACAACATAGGGCTCAGGATATGGTCCTTAACATTCACATCATAGCTAACAGGTTTGTTTAAATAACCTTCCTGATGTTTTGGAGATTGATATATGAACGCACCAGTTCTGGTAGTAACAAGAGAGGTCAGATTTTTCAATTACTAATGAGAACTCAATCCAAAAGATCACAGGGAAGAAAGAAGTGAAGTCAGATTTTATTAAAACCAAGCTGTAACCACAAAGCTATGCCCTGGAATAGAGTAAATCAATTAAACCCCCAAATCTTCAAAGCTTTTAAAAAAAATAATCCTTTCATTTTGAGTAACAGTGCAGCAGCATACTTACATTGCTAACTCCCATAAACACAATCCCACTCCAGCTAATAAAAATCTCTCCACAAAACCTATGTTTTTAGAAAACTGGAGTCTTTATACAATTCTGATCGCACACATTCAATCCTTAAGTACTAAAGTCTTAGATACAAAAGGCCAATACAAAAATCACTTGTTTAGTGGATGGACTAAACAAATCTAAATTGAAGTATGAATTTCATAAAAAGGTTAACTTATTTCAGTGAACCAGTCTTAACCTTTACCAGAAGTAGGTAACAACACTAGAGAGAGGATCTGCAGTACTGAATACTTAAGAATTTTAATAGAAGAGAATAGAATAGACTGTTTGAGTTGGAAGGGACCTACAACAATCATCTAGTCCAACTGCCTGGCCAATTCAGGGCTGACCAAGTTAAAGTATGTTATTAAGGGCATTGTCCAAATGCCTCTTAAACACTGACAGGGTTGGGGCATCAACCACCTCTCTAGGAAGCCTGTTGCAGGGTTTGATGACCCTCTTGGTAAAGAAATGCTTCCTAATGTCCAGTCTAAACCTTCCCTGGCACAGTTTTGAACCATTCCCACACATCCTATCACTGCACACCAGGGAGAAGAGATACATCATTAAAATAAGGTACTTCAGGATATCTTATTGGTGAAGTTTATTCTTTTTTTTTCACAAGTTAATGCAAAGCAAAAGTTCTAGGTAACTGAGAAAAAGACAATAATATGCTTTCTTACCAAACCCAGGAACAGGCCAATCAATAAGGTAGCTAAGATGAAGATTGCATAAGAAATCCAAACATGAATTCCAAGAGTGCCAGTGAGGTAGCTATGAATTTGCTGGAAATGAAAAGGAGATACTTAATAACTTCGTACCTAACACCACTTATGATTTATACTGCCGTCACCATTACATAAATTGATACCTAATTAAGACCTTCCATTTAACAGTATTTATACTAAAGTCTTCCTTCTCAAGCCCTAGTCATCCTCAAGTGTCATGATTCTTTCGATACCATTAAATCTTGTTTTTCTTTACTGAGTTGTTCACACTAAAAGGCTTTTTAAGCAAAGGCTGCACATTTCCTTCTTCCTAAGATACTCAGCATTAGAGATGCCGTATGTAATCTTACTGCAGATAAATGTATAAGGAAGCCTCAGAGCATACAGGAAAGTATCGCAACATTCTTGATCTTTACATTCTGTAAGAAGGTGGCAACTGTCGTAGACAGACTATTGGACTAAATGAACCCACAGCATGAACCTGTACATTTGTTCTTATGGCCCCTGTTGTAGAAAGGAGACCATACAATAAGCATCCCCGATAATGACAGTCACAGCACCAACAGAAGTCTATGAGGCTGATTATTTAAAAAAGGTAACTTAGAACTTAAATATTTCAGAATCAAAATAGCAACCAAGTCAGTTTAAAAGCAAGTGTCCTTTTATACCCACTTCACAAGCACACCACCAAGTGAAAAAAAGTAGCCTCATGTAGAGCTTTATCCCCATAATTACATCTAGGAAGCAGAGTGGTAGACACTTAAAAGTTGCATAAGAACAAAATATATACTTAAATTTGGGAATTCATTCATTAAGCCATTTAATACTTACTCAAGCTCTTTAGTTCTTAAAAGGAGCCACCGATTCTAAGCAGACACTGAATAAGTGATTTCACTTATAAATTTAAAGAGAATAACCCAAACACAACATTAAGATTTCTTTGAAATTGAAGTCTGTTATTCAAACCTACAAATTCAATTGACTGAACTAAGCATCACAGAGTCAGACAGTCTGGTAGGAAGTAAATTATGACATTAGATCTCTTCCAGGAGTATATCCATTAGAAAGTAAACCACAATCAACATTTACAAAAGTTTAAATATTGAAATTCCAGGGTCGTCTTTTTTTTTTTAAAGGTCAAAACAGCTTCCAACATTTATTAAAGCACATGCAAGGACAGCACAGCAAGAAGAGTGAGAAAATGTACAGCTGAAATAGTCATCGAAGTAGAAAGCAAATTAGAGACGATTTCTTCCCAGAGCATTTCATCTTTCAGGAAGGAAACTAGACAGCGACAACATCATTACACAGCAACCACAGAAGAGAAATGCCAGAAGGCTATAAAAAGTTAATACTATCCAGCAAAAGAAAGGATGGAAGATGGCTTGCACAGGAAATGTAAAAACTGAAAGTTTTGTTTGAATCTGGGTTAGTTAGATGCTTACTGGAAGTGATACAAATTCTGTTCAAACTCTCTACTACCTTTGCTTTTTGTAGCACGTGTTACAATATTAAGACCTTTTGCTACGATCAAATACAGTCTCTCAAGATCGGTTACACTTTTAAGATTTTAAGAAAGAGTATGTTTCCTGACCAAAACTGGAAAGGTCTGAAAACTCTCAGTATTTGCATGCTACAGGAAAATCTTTGAGAGCTCCCAAATGAAAGTGTCTTGAAGTATTTTTAAGTTGAAAGCATACTTCAGTGTACGCTAAGCATTTCTCCTTTACTTCTGATAATTACTATACTGTCCAAATTTGTTGTGTTCCTATCTGAATGGTGCTGACAGTTTGAAATCCAGATGCAGAAATTCTTACTAAAAAATAAAACCATTACCCCCTCTTCTCCTGTACACTAAATGCAAAAGAACTGCAGAAGAGTTTGATTTACAACTCTGAAAATGAACCTGGATATAATCATTAGGAATAGTATTAAGTGAGAGAACCTGGTAGATACTAAATGTATTCCTGATGTTTACAACCATTTTTGCAGCAGTTCTCAGAAAACTATTTTATCCTGTTACCACACTTCAACAGAACATTTTAACTATACCAAGATAGTAAGAACAGTAAGTATTTTCAGTATTGATGACAATCTTTACAATCAAACTGCCATTTTTGGCACAGTCTATTAGTGTTACAAAATCTATAGTGCAAAGAGACTATACACCCAACGTACAGTACACGTAAGCAAAATTTAACTCTCATAAAAGGATAATAAAAATATTCAGTTAGGTTTTGACTTCTAAACAGATTTTTATTCTAAGCATAAAAAGGGGGTATGGACAACAGGACCACATAGTTACTTACCCTGATCCATCCAGAGAGGTGAAATAGCCCTGCCATGCCATGCATCCTAGAAAACAAAGAAATGGAAGGAATAGGTTCTCAGACAGACAGAAGCTGAGATACATAGCAAACTGCACAGAAACCAGAAAAAGATTCTATAGACCTTCAATGCCATTCAGGCCCTAGTAATTGTCAGAAGGAGGCTACTGCAAATAAATACATTTTCTCTGTATGATGCTCATTTAAGCCAGTTCAATGCAAAGCATTGAAACAGTGACTTGAAAGATAACATTTGAACGTAATCGGAAAATAGCAGTTCCAGAGTTTAAGCCTGTGCAGCTGTAACTGCCTTTTCCCCAACTCACAGCAGCATGCAGCCCTGTAGCTCCTCTCCCCATTACTAAATATCCTACAGCTCCTCCTCATTCTCAGACAAAAAATAAGGACACTCACTGGGTCTCTGACATGAATTTACACATAATAGCTTTAGCCAGAATGAAATGCAGGCCATTCACATCTTTGGTTCATCCTTTATATCATGCAAGCATTCTACGCTATTTCAAAGCAAATCCAATGCTCTGAAAACAAATTCTGATAGACTATGTAAACACTACACTGTTTCCTATTCCAAAGGAGGAGACAAGACTTCCTTTTGCAAACAAATAAACAAGCAACCCTTAAAGTTAAAGGGTGCCTGCCCCAAGTAGCCAGCAGTCATGAAGTAATAATCTACATAAACACACATTTGATTGCGGTACTCAGCAGCTATCGAAACTGACACTTCCATAATGCTCAGTGGCTGTAGGTTTTTTCTTTTTGTATTTTCAAAGATGACACAAACAAGCCTTAGCAGGCACGAACAAAAGCAAATGCAGAAAATAGACTGCTTTTAAAGGTGAGAAACTGGAAAGCAGGCCATCAATAAATACAGATTGCTCCTGCAAAGTTTACATGTCTAGGGCAAAAAGGTCTTTTTAAGCTGTCAACATAGCACCCTTAATGAATAATGAGCTATAAAACATGTTTCTTGTTAATAAAATCAAAGTGTTACATTATAGAAGATGGAGACTTCCATCCTGCTACAGGTTCCACAGCTTCCCATTTTCTCTCTAAAACATAACCTTGAAGATCTTCCAACGTCCGTGACCCTCGGTATCTGCGAAATACTCCATCGTTTGCACTGAAAAACCAGAAGTATGCATTAACACAGATACCCCTTAAGCTGTATCTATAGTAAAAAAACTCCAATCATAAAGCCCATATACACTATAGATTTGACTTGCTCAGAAATTTGCATACCTAAGCATTTTCAATATGTTTTGAAACTGTAATCCATGATGGAAGGTCTCAGTTTTAAAACAGCATGAGCTTTCGCCATCTATTAAAATTGCTATTTTTCTGAAATATTCACTTGCACTACAGCAGATATAAAGCACATGTGGTTAACAACCAAACCATTTTTTAGACACAACTCAGAATTAAAAGTGTGCATATATACGTGTGCGTGTATACATATATATATGCACGACTCACAATACCATGACTTAACAAAGGGTTCAGTATTTAAAGGATGACATCTTATTGGAGAAGAGATACAGCAAACATCTTTTCTGATCTGTTTTTAACAGTATTGATAATAGGGAAGCTTAGTAAAGTCAAACTAAAGAAAAGCCTCAGATGAGGACTTTATCATACAATCAAAGCTCCAACAATAACCTGAACTGAAATCAAAAGTTGGTATTCCTTCATTTTCCCTTATGTTTCAGAGTTACAGTTTAAAACAAGTGACAAGTAGGAGTCAACAGCTATATATTGGTACTGAGTCAATAGATGAAGAATTCTAAGCAGTAACAGAAGCCGCACAATAAACAGTGGAAAATTTCTGCACTGTTTTACATGCGACCTATGCAGTCAATTATTCAAATGAGAAATTTTAGTGACACTTCTATAAGGACAAGTGTGTCTGCTCACATATGGTCAGGTTTCTAGAAGGTAATACTGCAAACTTGCACCAGTTTTTACAAGTGCTATTAAATATTGTTTCCAGACTGAAAAAGCATCGCTTTTATCTAGGTACAAAACTGTTTGTAGGAGAACCTTCCACCCTAAGTTAAAAATACATACCTTATGTTTATTAAGTGCACTGAGTTCCTGAGAAATGTTTTAGAGATTGACAAAAGTGAAATAAGCCAGTTGTTCATTACGTCTTCCATGCCACTGTTCAAACAGCACAGGAAAAAAGAATACGTACTGAAACAGACAACTGTTTCTAGTATGACACACTTACTGGTAAATTGTAGGAAGTGTTGTGACAAAGAATCGGCCACTCAAACCTAGAAAGGGAAGAAAAAACCACAACAAATGGTTAAGTAAAACTGAAATTTCTCAGCATTCTGACTTGCCTATAAATACCTACAGATCTGTATTTGTAGACTAGAAAGCAGCAGACTGCATAGCTTTTACCACTGTTTTGTAAATACAGGTAAACAGTTTGTCTTCAGAAATGCTGCAAACAGTAACAGATACTAAATACTGTTGACAGATTAAGGAAAAATGCTGATCTTGAAGAATGTTTACTGCAAGGTAATCTTTCTACATGGATTTCTTTAATCAATATTTGCACATAGCTGAAGTTTTTGACCAGACCAGCAGTGTACCCCTCCAACCAAGAGAAGGAAGAGCCACACAAACGCACCCATATTCCAGGATGCTGTGTGCCTGTGTCTGTGCATAGTCTTACCCAGATGATCTTTGTTTCATCTGGAAAGTTGGGCCACTACAACGACAGCAATGACAACAATGACTTACAAATTCTAGTCCCTGGTTTTAATTCATCCTCTAGCTGATTTTAAATGATTTAGAGCCGCACACTTCAGATCCCAGGTACTTCAAGTCATCAAATAAATTACTCTTCATATTTGCTTGTTTGCTTCTTCCAAATAATCCACATAAACTGCACAACCAGACTGTTCTTAGATCCTATAGGAAAGCTCAATCTCTCTCAAACATGACTGTAGCAAGACAATATTTTGGATGTTTCTAGGTTCTTATCGTTCCTTTCCATACATCATTCCTCTCCAGGTAAACACAAATGGTATGCCAACAGATTGATAATAAAGCTTGGGATGACTCAGCATTCTGTTTCGTAAAATATTGCAAATTTAAGCCATAAGAATCAGTTTTTACACCATCTAGAAAGGTAGGTCATGTCAGCATTTTGAACATCAGACATGAGAGCAGAAAGGACAAGGAAAGGTTGAAGTAGGGCTTCAAGAGGCTGACTGGAACTGATCGGAACTGATCCCCACACCAAAAGCAGGTGTTTCACTGACTGGCAAATACATAATAATCTTTTTACAAGTATCACACGAGACAGTGACAACATAATGCAACTCATAGGACAGAGAAATTACCCAAATCATCAAAAAAAGCAGCTTGTGGGGCAGAAGGTGTTTAAGTTCTCTGGCCTTGCACTCAGTACTGCTACAGAGTAATAGGTGCAAGTGCTTCCAGCTTCACTGCTGCGTTAGGTACACCAGTGAAGATGTCCCAGTGTATGGCTTCATTGCAAGAGCCAGTTGTAAAGTAAAAAGTCCCCAAACATCTCATAAGTAAGCTGTTTGTATGACTCAACTCGCTAAGCTGTCAGGTGAAGACATCACTCTCTCCCCTCTGCTTCCAAATCTGAGGAAAGTCAGGGCTACTTGACGCTACCCACCTCCTGACAGCTACAAAACCTGCAAGTGAGAGGAAGAACTCGCCTTAGTGCTTAACAGTATCATTTACTATTCAGCACATCCAACTTACAGACTGCAAAAATGAAAAATGTGCTATTAATGCAGTCTATTTTGGGAAAAAGAATACAGTAGACTGCAGAGATCATCAACCCCTAGATACACAGTCTGACTCCATCAGTAAGGGCTAAATTCCACTAGCCAGCAATTGTCATTCATATAAAGTACCAACGTAAAGAGTACAAATCAGTTATTTAACTTTTCCTTTTATAATGCTCTATGAAAATCTTTTGGGAAACTAAGTCCTTATTTGGCTTTCAATAAAGCAAACATCTTCTGGCACCAGGAAGTTAGCCATGGAAAAGTATTGCAGCGAGAGAGTTTCTGCCTTTAGAGACAAAGATGAGCCATACTGAACTAAGCCAGGTATTTTTAAAAGTTTCAGTAGTAATGGTTTTCCAAGTGTGAATTCGCCTATTGAATAGGCAAAAAAGGATTGTGGGGTTTTTTGTTGTTTGGGGTTTTTTTTAAAGGTGTTTAAATCAAACCAAGTGCAAGCATCTTTAAAGTTCCAAAAAGGAAGTCTTCATTTCAACTTTTCAGCTTTCTGTCTTTATTGCTATGAGAGGCAGGGTGGTAGAAAACTTTATAATAAACAGCTAAAAGCTGTGCCAGCACAAGTAGATATCAAGTAAACAAAAACACAAGTGTAACAGTAGTATTAATCAAGCAGAAAGCACAGCTGCACAGGAAAAACTAGGTGGGGAGTCATAAAGAACAAAATAAGCTTAAGAGCAGAGAAAGTCATGGGAACACTGAAAAACTCTAAAGTTCTTACAAATGCTAGTCAGGAAAACAGAAAACAAAATACCTAGCTTAAATCTTTCTTACCAGTAGCCTATCCTAGAACAAATGCCAACAATCTCAGCATGAACAATAAAATCTATAAATTATAAAATATAAAATCTGTTGCCAAAATGCATCTAAGCATCCCCAAAACTTTAATTGAAGGCTTGTTGCTTATCTAGGGTACCTCCTTAGATCAGTAAAACCAGATGTGAGCCAGCTACAAAAAGCTAAGAACAAACAGTAAATTGTTTTGGTGCGTGTTTAATACAAACTTGCCCTGGCTAGTAGTTTAACTTGAAACACAGTTAAACATCTGTCTTTGCAAATCAAAAACTGACATACATCCATTATGAAGTCAACAGCTAATCAAGAATAGGAAAAAAACCTTCAGTATTTGCACACACACATCCCCTAAAATGCACAGAGAATACAGATGCCATTTAAAAATACAGCTGCCTTCATCAAACAACTACTCAAAGAAGATTACAGAAGATCCAAGAAGTCTTATTTTAAATCACAGGTAAACGTTACGATTGGGAGCTTAAGAAAGGCACCACAAATATACAGAACTTTGAAATCCAGAAGCATCTCCACTACTTGCTCTTGAAATACTGAATGTCTCAATAGACAAGACGAGGAAAGACTAAGCACTTTAAGACTAGTGCATCAAGTGACTGAAACATGCTGTAAATCCATTAAGGCCATGGTGGATTTATTCTTTGGGCATCTGCTGTAACTAAGCATCACGAACGGCTCCTTTCTCCTGCAGATTTTGGAAGTGCAATTTTACGCAACGCTGCACTCATCCAGTGGTTTTCCCCTAATTTAATGCATTTTGACTATTTTCACTTTCATGAAGGCATTGTATAACTAAAGCTAATTCAGGTACCATTGTGCAAGCAAGAAAAGGAGGTAGAGCACTTAAGCACACCAACCAAAAGGCTGGAGCATAAACCTATAGTAAAAAAACCTCAATAACTTTGGAAAGCTTCCAAAGGAATGCATATCCCTTCAAAATTACATCAGCACCAGAGGTCAAATATGTAGTAATTCTTTGTTTTCCAGTTTGAGTATTCATTAGTTTTGGAAGTGGCTACAGTTTTCATGCTTTGTGCTGAACTGTATATTGTAGGTATATTATGTATGCTTTGGTACAAATTCATCACTTTGGGTCCGTTCTTTGACTAGCAGAAGTCAAACACCCTCAGAGGTCAAGACTCTCAGCAACACTAGAAATTCAAATATTTAAGGAACTTCTGGTTAGAAGTCACATCTAAGGTCTTAAGAATCTGGCATCACTCAGCAGTCAGAAAAATTTAGACCAAAAGAAAGTATCAAGTACCTGACCCCTTCAGGTCCCAAACTGCCATTCAAGTTTTTTTACCAGGAAGAAACATTCCTCCAAGATCTCAAGTATTTTATTTTAACAGCCTCACTTCTGAAAGTGCATTTTTGAGTAATAGTCATATCCAAATGCCACAATCAAAATTGAAATCCTTTTATTCAAACACTGCATAAGCAAAAGAATCCCTGTCTAATCAGGACAAAACAACAGGATAGGATCATAACAGATCCCCATTTGCAGCCTTAACTCCAGAGTTACCATTACTTTGTCAATGTGAAGAAGCTGGCTTTAAGTTTACATCTATGAAAAAAAAAGTAAGATTCAGAATCATCTGTTTAATAAACTGTTAATGACTAGTATATATAAAGGAGAGCCCCACATCAGCAGCTTTTTGGCATAAGATTTTTGGTATACTCCTAAACTTTTAACAAAACATTAACCTACACAAGGTCTAGAACAGCTGGCATTTTTCTTGTGAACTTAAAACTCTAGTCTCAGATACAGCAATTTAAGTAATTTCCCTGCTGTTAATTTGATAAAACTAACTTGTTCGGCACGTTTTTAACTAATAATATGGACATCTTTTCCACACACTTCATAAGGCAAAAAATAAAGAAAAAAAAAATCAGTAATTTTTAGCCTTTTTATTAGCATGTTTTTAACTAATAATGTGGACATCTTTTCCACACACTTTATAAGGCAAAAAATAAAAAATCAGTAATTTTTAGCCTTTTTATTCTAGTAACATCTCTAACTCGTCAGTCTTTTGATACTGCTGATAAAAAAAATCTTTTATCCTCTCAAAGCCAAAACAAGCATGAAGCATTCCCAAGAGATGCAGAGGTTTAAACAATATTGGTACTAACATCTCTGCCTAACTCTTGTCAGTCTTTTGATACTGCTGATAAAAAAATCTTTTATCCTCTCAAAGCCAAAACAAGCATGAAGCATTCCCAAGAGATGCAGAGGTTTAAACAATATTGGTACTGCTTACTCAAACACATTCAAAACTTTGAAGGGAGTCGCTAAAAGAATAAATAAGACTGCATTTACGCTTCTGCGGATAGTTAGGCAACCCTTTCTGTAAACACATTTGCATATGTGCATTACCAACAGAAAACAACAGTAACGTCTGTACTTTCAAGCACTACTACAATGAAACAAGACAATAAACCAGCACCATCACGGAAACAGCTAAGAACGTACTAAAGGAGGCTCACACTGTGGTAATGCTACCACACCCTGAAACTCTCAGGAACTGGAGGCTACAGAACTGCATTCTTCTGCAGACACTTTGGAGGAGAGGAATGAGACAGGCAACAGCTTTCAGTGAAGTAGATTAAAATAGAGAATAAGCCTCTTTTAATACAGTATTAAGCCAGATCACTCCCCCAATTGTTTAATCCTTCAAACTGAGTTTATAAACTTAGGCTCACAGATATGAACTACGTGGAGAAACAAAATGTGGATAACATTATTTTGATTTAGAAACCTCTTTTCTGACTTGGCTGGTATCCCAGGTACTCCAGTAAAATAAAGCACACTCCCAGATACTAAGTAGTACTTATATTGAATAATTCCTTCTATTAAAACAGTCTATTTCATACTGTACCTGGTTCTTGAGTGACATCCACCTTTCCTACAGTGATATCTAGATGTTCGCTTTCCTTTGCAAAACTCTCCCACGTCAATTCAATCTGTTGACAAGCTGGACACCACGGAGCATAGCTAAAGGGGGAAGACTGGTTAAATATTTTAATATTCTTACACTTATAGACATTCAAAGTGATTTACCATACAGAGAAAATACAAACACATCAATCACAAAGGAAAAAAAAAAAACACTACAGGTTTTCTTAATCAAGTCTACTAAACAAGACAAGTAGGTTTTTTTCTCAATCCCTACGGCCCTCCTTATGTTATTAAAACAAAACCAAATCTCTACAGATTTGAAAAATTCATACCCAAACCCCTCACCACTTGTGATTTATTCTATTTACATATGGCAGCTATCCAAATTATCGAAGCCAGGCTATCCTATGAAGCAATATTCTTCAACATAACATTTTGTATTGATTTCCCTCACCTCAGAAGTTCTAGAAATTACATTTGCCTTAGCCCACTACTCAATACATCAAAGCATGCCCTTTCTGATAGCACTCTTCAGAGATTTAAAAAGAGCACACGTCAAATTCCTACTGCTCATACTGATTGCCTTTCTCAAGACTTGTTTCTTCCCCAGGATTAATCTCAGCAAAACAAGAAAGCATGTTTCAAGAGCTGAGCTTCCTATACTACCAATTGGAATAACCAAACCAAGTTTGCAGCTGTTATTGATAATATCAACATGGAGATCGAACAGCTAATATGAAAGGATAATATCAGATAACACTTAAATGATCATAAAACCCCATTTGCCATCTTTATGTGTTTTACCCTAACTTGGTTGACAAAGTCTGTGTCAAACTTGTGCAGCTTGCAATGGTCTGTCATATATGCAATTAAGGTAACGCAGAAGAGCTAGGTATAGTGTGTAACTGAGCCATGGCAATTGCTCATACACAGACCCATCTTATTACAAAGAGACCTTTACATGGTTTAACCTAATTTATTGGTGGAAGGTGAGGGGGTGGAGAAACAAATGTACATATACAGGTTTCTGATAGCAAGAGTAGTGAGTCTACAGACACACTACTTCTCACAGTACTCCATATATGCTACCATGCTCCTCATCCATTGTTAAAAATAGAAACACAATTTCTTCATGGGCAGAGTCCGATATCCTCAACAGCCCACATACCCACGACACTCTAGGAACTACACTAAGGAACTCCCTTACTCCTTCAGTTTGTCTGCCAGTCCTACTATCTGACCTAAAGAGTGGCACTTCCTAGTCTCTGGCTGTCTTTTGAGTAGGAATGCTTACTTTCTTACGGGCTGTGGACAGAGATCTCCCCAGCCACCCACAGATGTTTCATGTAAATAAGACTGAACCTGAAACGGGTAATTTCTACTGAAGAGGTAGAATCCAATTTCCTCTGGGTCCTTCATGGTACTTTTGAAACCTAAATAACTGTACTAGAAATTTATGATTCTAAGTATGAAAGTCAATACTTTGATTTTTTTGAATCAACATCATTCTGTGCGAGAGCATCTGAAAAAAAGTACATAAATCTTATCCTGCCAAGAAACAGCCCCTCAGTATCTTTTAAAAAGATGCTGGAAACAAGTCTCACACACAGTGCTGTTTTCCATTGTGCTGCTGGCCTACAGAGGGCTCTTAATAGTTTGACAGATACTGTACTTTACAAACAGTATTATTTTATTACTGTAGCTTGACTGATAAGTAAGAAACTCCATACATCCATCAGATAATGCTGCTGATGTTGCTCCAAAATTAAAGACAGAAGTTGGAAATGTTTTCTAAATCCAGCTTCTCTAGATGTGTCAAATTCACGCCATGAGATTTTTCAAGATTAATACACCCTTTAGCCTGTTTAAGGTACTACCTGATCTTGAAACAGAAATTTGGGCCCTATCAAAATTTTTGTTTACCTTTGACATTCACAAGCATTTCTTCTTAATGAAATTATGTGGAATATTCAATACACATGGCTAATATTCATATGATTGTAAATATTTTCTTTATATCAAAGCAGCATTAAAATCCAATCGTATCACAGTTTGGTAGTGACAGAACGTAACAATGAACTTCACAAAAAAGCCTTCGTTGTTGGCTTCCTAGTTTTTATTACCAATATTGGATGTGGGATGGCAATAGTCACATACAATGCCACAAGATCCAGCCATTCTAGCTGAACATTGGCACAGACAATCAGGATTAAAATATTTCCTTTACATTCCTGATATTACATGTCCAAGTTTTGCCAGCCAGGAAATACCTTGTACCCACATATACAAGACAGAACTTGCAATAGAAATCAGATTTTTGCAAGAGTTATCAATGCTGTTTACTTCAACATCCTCGCTTTTCTGAAGCTTTAATATCTGCATTTGTTATGCAGCATTTGAAGCACTAAGCAATTCAGGAGCACCTCCTGGAGTTAACAAAAACATTCCATTGCCAAAGCTTTATTGTGTCTCCCTCTCAGTCTTAAAATACCTTCCCTTATACTTTCTCTTTTGGTAAGACACAGAAGAGCAAAATACTTCACACTTAGGTCACCTTTATCAAAAGTTTCAAAAACACTTTTTGCACCCTGAAGAACTGAAGCTTAAGGAGGTACTTTATTTCAATGTCGGCTTCTAACTGATCCTTTATAACTGTGGCTGATTCGTATTTCTACAGGGGTCATGGGACAACTACCAGTCTTATATTCTCCAGACAGAAATCTGTAGGAACAGTACAGCAGATCCATGTGCGTGCTGTGAAACCGGTCTTCATTACTTTCCATCAAGAAACAAGATGCAAGGCCAAGTCACTTACAAAAGCAGATGTAACCAAATTTCTTCTCCCATACTCCACAAAAGTTAAGTAAGTTTTTTTACAAATTGCCGAAGCCCTAGCTACCTCAAAGAGCCAACAAAGGACGTTTCTTCCCTGGATTCTCCTGCCAAGCTTCACTCATGTCTTAAAATCACAGATGGGCCTGCTGACATGACCATACACCAAGGCACTGTTCTGGGGAATTTGTTTCAGGGTGCAAGCTCAACCTTATGAATTCCCATTCTGCTGTATCTACTTCAGTAACTCGACATGCATCTCTCTTCCAATAATACCTGAACAACGGGGAAAAGTAACTGCACACCGCTATGGTGTGATGCACTACAAGCCAAACAAATTGATAACATTTCAAGTGCTACTTTCTTTCCGAAGTAACTGCACACCACTGTGGTGTGATGCACTACAAGCCAAACAAACTGATAACATTTCAAGTGCTACTTTCTTTCCACTTGTTCTACAGCTCAGTAATGAAATGCATTTTAAACTTCCAAGCACAAGATGAGAAGCAAAGCAGGGTATATCATATTCAGCTCTCTAGTTTCAAAACCCAGAAAAGGGTGAGGGTACCATTTGCAGTTAAAAAAAAAGCCCAACCACCTTCCATTCACAAGCATTTTTTTTTTAAAGATGGATAAATTCTTTTAAAATAGAAAGCCAATCAATCACTGAAAAACAATGTGAAATCTTCTAGAACTTCAGCAGATTAAGTTCCACCATTCTACGTGGTTTTGTCCCCTTCTATAATAGCAAAGCATCTGCTACCAAGGATATTTCAGTTTCACATTTAATCAGTTTCTGTTCAGCCAATGCACGGCACAGGAGTCAGCCGCATGTTCGGTTATTACATAAGAGTCCGTAGATAATTTGGTCACTTCCTCTGAAGTCAGGCAGGAGGGCTGCAGAAGCTTCAGAACCAAACCAGAGTTTTGGTAACTTGATTGTCATCCTCCCCCCTGCTTTTTAGGTGTTTTTTCCAGAGTTTTGGTTTGGTTTTGGTTTTGTTTAGTTGCATTTTTTTTTTAAGAATAGGACAGAGAAAAGTCTGGATCCTAACAAATCAAGAAGTAAGAGACTACACTCTCATAAGTGACAGAAAATTCCCAACCTTATTGAACTCTCAGTCTTAAGTTACAATAATTGTCAAATAATTTATGGAATTCTTCAGGAGTTTATTTACACAAAGTGTTCCAAGCCAACTGTTTAAAAGCATTAAACCATGTAAATATCAAAACATTCAGCTAGATTTTTAACACACTCCCTTGAAACTACAGACAAAAGTGCTAGTGGGAGGACTGAATCCTTGTGATAATCTGGCCTACTAGATAGCAGGACAACGTTTAACGACAAATAACAATGAGAAAATAAAGTATGCGTCTATATTATAGGTACGATAAGCTATCCTTGAAAACATGACTCTTACACTATTTTTCTGACTTTCACCTGGCTAGAATTAAAATAGAAAATTAAGACATTCTTTTTCGTGTACTCACAGCATTAAGACTGTGCTGAAACAAACGAGAACCAAAACATTAAACAACCTGTGTGGGAACTAAACTAGAGATTTTCCCGGTAGGCAAGTACCTAAAGTACTGCAGGAGCAACAGGAACATATTAAATAGTTTCTTTTGTAACCAGAGGCATGAAGACAAGTTTATTGTTGAGCGGTTTTTTGTTTGTTTATTTTAATCTACTTCAAGAAGAAGAGGATGTTAAATTAAGATCAATCAAGCTTAGAACAAGCTACTTTTAAATAAACAGATCAGAAATTAGTTTTCTGTATTCCTAGCAGACATAATATTAAAAATAAAGACAAAACCAAAACTCCTAATACTAACGAATCATTCTCGCAGGTACAGACTAGAAATTAAGTCACTAAGGAAACTTTTTAAAACAGTTCATTCCAGCATCATACTCATAGCACTTCAGCAAGGATCTGCGTGCTGTGACAGTAACAGTAAGCAAAAACTGTTGCAATGTTTTTCAGAGACAGTTATCCAGAACATTTTTATCTATTAAATGCAGAAGTGCTTCCCATGCCCACAATTTTGCCAGCTATGAATAAACAAATATTTATAAAAAGTCAGTCAAGTACACACACTTCAGCTAGGAGGGATGAAGGAAGAAAAAAAATCCTATTTCCACTACAAATCCCCCACGCAAGTAACTTCTGACTTAAGTTTCTCTATTCATGCACCTGAGAACAACAAAAAAGTGGTAGCACACAGTAACTCATGTAAGACACTACTTTCACAAATAGAAAACCTGACATTAAACAGAAGTAGTCGTACCCATTCTTACCAGGGCAGAAGGCTTCAAGCTAGTAAACTACAGCAGGTGACCAAAATAAATATTTTTTTTCATAAAGATCCTATAACAACATTTGCTCTTAAAAAAATAAAAATAAGTACTGCTTGGAAAACAGAGGTCTTAAAAACAAACAGGAGGTTCTTCCAGCAAATGAGGTTTTGATGAATGATATTGCAGTCTGGCCAACAGACCTACCACACAGAATGGAAGGAATCAATGAACTGACATGCAGGACTCCTGTCCAGATCACCAGTTCTAAACCAGATAAAAACTAGTAGAAGCCAAAATTCATCAGCATGAAAACAGCTGCAAGAATCATAAGAAATCGATACTAGATCTCAAAGTCCTGTTTATACACGACTGGGAATCTCAAACTCTCACTAATTCAAGAACAGCAGCGTTGAGTTAGCATCCCCAATAAAGACAAAGGTTCCTTCTCAGTTAGGAGAAAAGCAGGGAGCACTAGCAACGTGCCACAGAATGTAGCATGGAGAACCGAGGATCCTTCACACATCAAACACTGCACATAAGACAAAAGTAAGTCTGATTTAAGCAATGCAGCAACATGTACCATATTCAGCTAGCACTAAAGCTAACTTTGCCACCATTGCGATTGTCAGCTACCTGTTACTCCAAACCAGAGTGCAACGTTTCAAGTGGAGTAGACTCACAAAGGATTTTAACTGTTTGCTATCGCAGCCACTTCTGATTTCTGTCAGTTGCTCTCTTCTTTCTCCCTCAGGGGCATGCACCATAATTATTTAAATATTTTCTCTTAGAAATAAAAATTTGAGTCACCATAAATAACCTTTTTCCCTCCTTAAGATTCACCAGCTCGTGTACGAAGCAGTAACTTTCACACAATAGCTTCCACATAAGACGAGCATGTCAGAAGTTGAAAATTTTCAATTTAAAAAAGAAATTTATTTTCTCCCACTCCAAGATCATCTCTTCCCCCACCTTTTAGAACACAATAAATGAAAAGGGAAAAAAAGAGACTCAAAATCAAACCCAAATCCTTAGCCACAACAGTGGGCATCTGTGGGTCTCTCAATCAGCTATTTCAGGATTGTCCCCATCTAGTCACTGATTATCGCCAGGTGTCCAGTAGGATCCCAAGCAGTAAAGCCCTAGGGGAAGTGATAGCCCCTCCCCCTAATAATAGACTGCAGATAACTCAAATTCAATACCAAAACAAAATTTAAAGCAGCTAGGGCAGTATTTATGAGGGAGCATGAGCTCGGATGTTGATGGGCAACCTAGTCTGTTTCACAGGCTA